TGACTATCATAAAAAAACATCTAAAAAGTAAACAAAAATGTATATTTCAACTTAGTTATGCAGTATAAAGATATAAGTAATTTGCAATAATCCCAAAACCTACCATGTATTTATTCCTTGTTTCTGCAAGAATAAAAGTAAATAACTTTCAAAGAATTTCTTAATATATAAAATCAGTTTCTTAATATATATCTATATTGCAGACTAATTGTTTAATTTATCTTACGTACTACTTCTCGTAGGGTAGCACTTAATTGCGATTAAGAGATCGTTGAAATATCTACTGACCAAATCTAATAAGCCCATACTTATAAAACTTATACGTGTTTCTTGTAAAATTTTTTAGTTTACGGATTAAGGTCTCACAAACCCGGTAACTTCTTTTAATTGCATCTTTTCGAATCCTATTCCATATTTGAATCTTTTTTCTTAAGTCACGTCCACGACTGAGCAGAATATATTGACAATCCACTGTATGGCTCTCCGTAGGGCACACCTAATACCGTAGACACACACACAAATACAACACGATACACAAGCGATAACAATTTCGGTGTCCTGCAAGCCGGCTTTGGATCAAAAGAAGTTACAAGAATTCACACGAATATACATCAAAGGGACGTTTATGTCTCCATTTTGACTTTCTTTCATAGCCACGAGGCGTTATATATATATATATATATATATATATATATATATTTTATATATATATATATGAATACTTATGTATAAGTATGTTTATACATCTATGAATACATATATAAAAACAAATATGTGTAAGTATATATATATATATATTAGACAAATGAAAGTGAAAAAAATTCTCTGTAATGTGTTTCGTTCTCTAAGAAGGACTTCATCAGACTGAGGTCGAAATAGGTTACACAGAATTTTTTCTACTTTTTCATTCATTTGTCTAACATTGTTCCGATGTATAAAATGTATATATCGTATTCTCCTATATTATATCTATATAAGCGTCCGTACGTGAGCATATATATGAATACTTTTTATATATATATATATATATATATATATATATATATATATATATATATATATATACGAATACTTATGTGTGTGAAATTGTAGTTTGTGAATGAATAAGTATTGTCACGTCACTGACTCTATTCAGTCGACACAGACAAGAAGATACATATTACAGTATTTACGTATTATATTTAGGTATGTATCTGCACATGTACATTGTATTCTTTGTGTTGGAAACAGTATCTTCCTTTAAGCATTATTGAATTACAATATAAACATTTAAGCATTTTGAACAGAACTTGAAAGCAATAATATTTTAAGTCTTTATTCTAGATCTTTTTATAGTATATTAATTGAATTCCTTAATGTAGGTAACGATATCTTATATATTACAATTATGAGGTTGGTTTTCTATTGGTGTAAACTCATTTTTAATTAATTACTCGTAGGTGATCGACTCCCACATCGATCAGTAATCAACGAAAAAAAAAAGAAGAAACTTATCATTTATTCATCAGTTTTAACATCCTAAATATGATCCATGTAGAAAAAGGAAATTTTAGAATGCTGGATGGATTGACATATATTCTAAACAAAATGTGCGTTGGTTTCATTCTGCAAACTAATGAAATACAGGAGTAAAGAAAATAAAAAATAAAACGTTTTAAAACATCGGATTAATATTAGCGGGAAAGTTGTGAATTGCTTTTTAATACGTCATAACAAAGAAACGTTTACCTATTTTAATTGTCTTTTTATGCGTTTATTTTGACAAACGAACGTTTTTGTTTATATTGGGAAACATAGAAAAATATCTATCTTCTCACGTGGTCGGTGACATATCATGGTACCTGCAAAAAGGTTGAGTGAAACAGTGAGTGATTTTATAAGTGTGGTGCAGCACTTTCTCTCTTCATACGTTGGCCGCGAAAGTGAAATTAAAAATCAAGGAAGGCAGACGACACGACTAACAAAAACAAAAATGGAGTTTTAGACTTTTTTCCCTTCATTTTTAATTCCCTTTTTATAGTGTATATAAACAAGTGAATGGTCAATTAATTTATATTTTCTTAGATGCCGGGTATTTAAAAAGAAGAGAAAGAAGACACGTGGTTTGATTAGCAACTGAGTCCTTTTTCTTCTTTTTTTAGGCGAATACCCGACCTTTAAAACTAGACTGTCGTGGTCACTAAATCAGGTGTGCAGTATGTTAAACAATGCAAGTGAATCGGATTATTAAACGAAATACAAAAATGAGATCCAGATATGCCCAAGCCAACCTGCGCCCCCTATCCCACAAACGAAAAAAGTAACATGTATATACGTACGTCTTGATTGGTGTCATAATCGGCAATATGTCTTGATAAGGTTTCGTTAATTCCTTTAAATTTGTTTCAATTTTTAGTTTCTTTTTTGTGTTTACTGCATCTTTCGACTTGTAAAAGAAATGAATTGTCACTTGTATCTGTTTACCTGTTACTTGACTTCTGGCTTTCATGTCAGTTAGCCTTCTTCCTCGCCTTTTCTTTCATTCCTCTTTAGTCTCTTGTTCTTTTTTGTCTTCTCCTTCTAACTCTCCTTCGTCTTTGCTCTCATACTTACTCCCCTTCATACTAGCATCCTTGCTCTCCTCATGCTTGCTCTCCTTCACAATAAACTCTTTCTTTGGTTTCATTTTGCCCGTTCTCCTCATTACCTGCCTATTCCTTGCACTTCTTCTTCTTCTTCTTCTTACTCCTCCTCTTCTTCTTCTTCTTCTTCTTCTTCTTCTTCCTTCTTGTACATCTCTTTGCTAGTTTTTCCTTCTGTCTCGACTTGATCCTTCGTCGCTTTCACCCCTATTGCTTCTTTTCATTCAATCGAAACCGCTTCTTTTTTTTTCGCCTTGTTTTTTTCTTTTCTGGCTTCTCCATTTTTTCCAATTTCTTTTTGTTACCTTTCAAATTTGCACCCTTTTTTATATTTCCTCTATCGCTGCTTTTCGTTGGGTTTCTCTTCAAATCCGATATGACCTTCCACTTAGGCAGACTGGACTACTATTCTCTTCTTTCCAGTCGGACTCTCAATTCAAAATACACCTCACTAAATTTACCTTTCATTTTCCAATTCTCTATCTGTACTTATTAATAGACACACACACACACATACATATATATATATATATATATATATATATATATATATATATATATATATATATACATGTATTTCTTAATATTTAATCTAATTAAATTCAAGGAAAATTCCACAATCTGTTTATAAATAACCTAATGCTTTCTTATGAATTCACAATTCTCAACTCTTTATCGATTATACTGCCAATTGATCAGTGTTTCAGCTTATCCCTCTAACTCCATACGCCAAATAGTTTGAAGCAGTTCAATCTATCGATCGATCAGTATGCACATAAAGCAATCAGGCAATATCTATACACATATTCTCTCGACCCTTTCACTCTAATACTACATTAAATTTCAAATTCTGACACTAACTTTTATTTATTTTTCTCCTCATCTATCAGTCTATCTCTTAATCACACTATCAGTCTTCCTTTCTACTTTTCTCTGTAAAGATCAATCGTTAAATCGATTGATCTCTTCAGGTCGATCTATCAAGTGAACAACATAAAACTACGAAAAAAAATGGTAGTTCAGGAATTAAAAAAAAAAGAAAGCGAGAGTTAAGAACTTCTAAAATGTTTAAGTCTTCTGCCGAAAGTTTATAAAGATAAGATCAAAATAAAATAATATGGACCGTGTGGGGTTTTTTTCTGGTTAGCCATCTTGCTGAATGGGAAATAACTCTTTAAACCGGTTTCCATGCCACCGCTATCCGACCGACGCAGTTTCCGCATAGATTGAACACGTTGCTTCTTGTGTGCATTGGCCTCTGTGAATAATATTACTAATAACGCGAAAAAATTTCAAGTGAATCGTACCTCTCCCAGTCCCCGCGTTTTTTTTTTAAGGAAAAAAAAACGCAATTTTTATGCCTATGTAAGCAAAATAGTTGTTCTCTGTGTGATGTCTAGCTGTCGGTGATAGAAAAGATATCGTACTTTTTTGTAAAGCTTACAGAAATTTGATCTGAAAAAAAAAATGATAAAAGGAATTCGGAAAGTCTTAAATGGACTGAGAAATTTCAAATAATCGTTACAAGTTGTCTTTTGCTCATTTAGTATGTAGACTTGTTTTGTTGAAAATAAATTGCTCTAAAGCAAATCAGAGTAACATTCACTGTGATAGTTGCGGGTGATAACACCCAGTGTTGATCATATTCCCTCCTGGAATTAGCTTAAATTAAAGTCTTGCTTGTGAGCTCTTTATGGACGAGTGTCATTATTGTTTGACCTCGGTCTGCTCTCTTGCAGTCGTTTTGCATGGGCAGATTTCAAAACTGAATAGGCACAGATAAAGTCAAGCTACACGTTTCGTTGGGTTGACTTTTGAAACGGCTCAAAGCACTCAATTCACTGTCATTACTACGAGCTTAAAAAATATGGCACTCTGACGTCGCAAAGCTTACAACAATGATTCCTAATTCGTTATTCCCCATCATAAATGCAGAATATCTTTTATAACTGTTAAAAAATAAAATTGCTCGTGACAGATATCAGCTTATTCACGACAAAGAGCTAAAACCTCAGAGAAAATAAAAATGTTTTGGTCGATATTTGTGTGGATGTTCTGAAAATTTGGGAGATAAGCAAATTCGTGTGAGAATATTGATCTTCCGTGAAGCATTTTATGAATTCTTCCCGGTATTGTTATCCGCAATTTCTATAAAAATAAATAGAATGATCTTTTTTAAAAACTACGTAGTAAAAACGTTTCTTAGAGAATGCTAGTTTATTAGTATGGCTTTCATATATATATATATATATATATATATATATATATATATATATCAGAATCTAATTCTTTCCTTCAGTTTTGTTCGTTGATAAGTGTCGTCTGTTTTATTCATTTTATTATCCCCCATATTCGCCAAGAAACAGTCAGTATCGATTCATGTTCTTCCTTATTGTTTTCCTTCACAACCACGGGAAGAGGGACCGATCGCCGCCAGTCTCAGAATCAGTTGCTACATTCCCTTACACAGGCCGCCATGATTTTGCTTATCGTGTCACGTGATAAAAACCGTTGAAAATGAGGCCACCTTTAATGGCTTTGTTTTCAGTTTGCTTTTTACGTTAATGCTAATCATTTGGTCTCAGTTTCTTTCCTGAAACTGTTTTCTACACTAGATAAACATACCATCTCTCGTTCGATCGCAACGTTCATGCGTGTTTATACGTTTCGATAATAAATGTGCACAAAACAACAAGACGCCATGAATGAGTTTCTTTTCTTATTTTATTAACTGCCAATAACAAATGTTAACGAATAATAACTATTAACGATCGAATAATGATTTGGTTTGTTCTATGTTTTTCTCATTAGCAATAATGATAAAACTAACTGTGATCGTTTTTAAATAATGGCTATTATAGCAACTACAGCAGCAACAAAAATCCAAAACTGAAGTTTACACCACAGACATGCAAATAAAATATTTTGTGTATTCTCCTTAACGCCATTTTATTTCTCAAACCTGTTCCTCCAAAGATTTTCTCTGAGCAAAATATAAAAAGCTTTTGCTGCTTTGTAAATAGTCTATTGCTAAAAACGCTCGTATCTTGTTCATTTTGAGTCGGTGATATAAATGAATTTTTTTTAAAGACTAATGCAAATTATCAAATATCTCCGTTCTGGCTCTGTTTACTGACAGTCGACAAAAATGGCGGTAATCATATCCCCTTAATCCCACTTATAAAATGTGTTCTATACTATTTGTTTTTCCATTGTTTCATCGCTGTATTAAGTACTACATCCGCCAAGGTAGAATAAAGTGGTGTGGCTCATCTGCTGAACACGACGCTTTTTCTTTTCTTCTCTAAGTGGTCGTTTAAATATTATAATCAGACCAGATTCAAGCTGTCAAGTGGCCATTCGGGCCTTTGACAAGTCATTCAAACTCCCAAGGTGGCTATCCGTAGACATTGTTGGAGTGTTTTGTACGTAATTCACGATGTGCAGCTGGTTGGGAATATGTGTCGCCTCAAATGAGATAGATATAATATCATTATATAAATTTCCTTATTTATCCGCCATTATTATTCTCATTACTTGTTACAAATAGGACGATTACAAATTTCATTTTTATTTACTTAATGAATGATTCAAGAGTCTAAGCAGTATCTTTTTTTTTTTTCATCATTTTCTTTTTCTATCAGAACCCAACCATAAAACCAGTTTCTTTGAATACACTACCAAGGAGACGCCATCAGCGACCAATAAATAAAAACAGTACGGCATTGTAACGTTGTCACATACGTTTTGGAAAAATTGGCGCCCGATATATGAATATAACATACATATTTACATATATTTATATCACACTTTCTTTTAACATAACTATATATATATGTGTGCGTGTGTATGTGTTTATGTACGAATAAACTACGACCAAGGACTGACGAAAAACAATCATTTAGACGATATAAAGGGAGATAACACAATACGTTTCTCCTTTTTACTTCATTCACCTCCAAGTATCACATCGAAATTTAAAGAGGAAAAGTAAATAACTTCTCTTCTGTACCAAATACATTGAAACGGACGTCGAGAAGAGAAAGTTTAAACCATAAAACAAGGTGAACAAAAATATAAAAACTTTGTGTCCCGCTACCATTCAAATTCCCGAACCCAACTGAAAAAAAAAATCACAAGAAAAATTGTTTATGAAAAAAAAAAAAACGAAAGAAAAAAAGAAACCGTGTAAAACTAAACACGACAAATGATTGAGAGAAAGAAAAAAACTTGACGACTTCAAACGATTTTTATTTATCCTTTCTTAAAAATGGACTAAAAATAATTGAACAATGAAATAATAAATAAATATTCGTAAAATACAAAAATGGATATTTTGGGAGGGAATGATTTAAAAAAAAAAATACATCGGAATGGTAATCCTGGAGACATGGTAAAATTATTTTTCCTCACACGTAATAGATTGCGTATTTCACTTTTTTTATAATTTTTTAAATTCTTTTTATTTGATTAAAACTGGTGACGTCAAGTAATATAACAATGGTTTTTGAATGATAAACAAGTGTCCGGAATTTTTAAATCTTTGAAGCAAAAAAGAAAACAATAATAAACATGAAAAAATGTATGAAAAGGTTTGCAAAATAATGGTGTGTTCATAGAAAAAAATATATACAAGTTAATATACCTTGCAAAGATAATGACATTATACAGAAACATTAATACCCCATGGACTACATATTCATTCCTGAATAATGTATATTATATATATGTATATACACATTTATTATTATTATTATTATTATTATTATTATTATTATTATTATTATTATTATTATTTTAAATATGTCGATTTTTCGTTTCATATGATTTTCATTCTAGTATTTTTCAACACCAAAAATAACAAATGCTTATTTTTTTT